GACATCTACGATCTCACAGAAAAATAGGGGACTGTGAACAGTCTATTTTGTATTGGGTTAATCATTTAAGTCTTGCTTTTGTTGATGCATGGATCTTTTCTATTTTTATGTTTTCAGCATGATCATACCAGGTCAATCTTCGTTGGAAATTTACCTTTTGGTGAGTCAACTGGTTCATTCCACCTTTTTGTTCCAGGCAATAGGCAACTTTCATTCTTGTATCACTTAGCTGTACACTCTGGTAGATTTGTGTTAAACACTGCCAACAACCGCAGAACACCAAGTAACTGTCCTTTTGGTTTGATATCCTCTCAAGCGTCACAGTAAGAGTACATTAAAAACCCTCTATCTCCGGTTCTACTTAGTGAAAAATGAAAAATAAAGCAATGAAATGCTTTCTGTTTGAAGTTATCAAATTTTCTTTGATTTTGTGCACTGTTGATAAGGAGATAAATTAGTAATGGATAACCTCTTTTATCTCCTTTTTGCTTTTTCTTTGGAAATGCGAATAAACAGTTATTATTATTATTATTATTATTATTAATTATTATAATTGTATCTTGAACGAAATTCTCAATTGTGATTGGTTCTCCTCGTGCCTATTTGTCACATAATGGGCACACGATCATGTGGGTGTCCAATTACAAGTATCCAGTTTGAACTTTTTGTAATTGGATATCAGTAATTGGATACCGACGTGATTCATAGTACATTTTTCAGCTTTCCTTGGCCCCTTTTTGGCTCAAGTTAGCGGGAAAAGAGAAACCTACTTAAATTTTTGGCCTTTTTTTGAGACCCATCGACCCCTAGGAATTTCCAATAGTCTTCTGTTTCCTCTGTGAGGTGGGTACATGGATGTTTTCTGGAACTGCACAATGTAAGTAGAGGCTGCATGACTCTCCTTAATGGCAGTCCTTGTAGTAGGGTTAACTCTAAGAGAGCTTGCTTAAGGCTAGTATGTTTGCTTGTATGAGTGCTACAAAAAATACTGTTAATTACTGAATCAAAAGAGTGATCACATATCTTGCCCGAGTATACGATT